TAATATAATGGGTAACTAACTTATAAGTTCTTACAATAAGGAGTATCATAAAAGGCATAGTTTTCCTCTAATAAAAGTATTGGGGAGGGAACGCTAGAGTTTAGCTTTTGAGAATAATTAATGATATATAAAAAGAGTAGCTATTAATTTCTAAAAGACATAATCACTTTTTTTTCTGTTTTTTAAATGAGATATTTATACTAAAAACTAATCAATCTAGCATCCACCATAGCTAGAAAATATTAAGCATTAAGTAAGATAAGGATTTGCTACAGTTGGAATAAATAACAGGATAGATAATAATAAGGTAGATTTTAATTACCCTTTTAAATCATCTGCATAGAGTCTGTTATCACATAAAAGTTTGATCCATGGGTTCTTAGTCCAGATTTAGTAATTTTTTTTTTTAAAAGCCAGAGGCACTAACCGTACTGTTAACATTGTTGGAAGGTGCTTTTTAACTAAGGACACATCATAGGGACAAGTATAGGGAAAAACTGAAAGGAACTTCTTATATTTAAATATGTGGAAAAAGTCATTTTTGGTGTTCAGCTTCTTTTTCCCATGTTCTCATGAAATTCCTTCTTAAGAGTTTCGTATTCTTTGACAATAGTAAGGGCATGGAAGAAATGAGGTTGTTTTAAATGAAAATTGTCACAACTCTCACCATGACATTCTGCCACCCACCATCCCACTGTGCCACCCACTATCCCGCTCTGCCGCCAACTATCACATTCTGCCATGTATCTGAATTCAGAATACTCCAACCTGAACCAAAATTAATGATCATGTGTTTTATCCTTTACAGAAATATGTGTCTAAGATAGGAAACACAGGAGGCCCTGTGGGTTTATAATTATTAAAGGAGCCTTCTTCAAAACCAGTATTTCATATTATCTCTTTATGTGGAGGCCTCTGAGGCTTTTACATCCCAGGGCAATGCACCTGAGTAAGGTTTGGGGTGGGTAAGGCCTGTCTTTTTGAAAGTGGAGAAACGTTGCCGTGTACGCAGGCATGATCTCAAGGAGATCCGTTTTAGGAAGGAGCGCAAATGGAGGTTGAGAATCTGAAAAATAAAAAATCTCTTAACACTATCCATTCAAGTACCCCTTGGAAAGTCTTAAATTATATGTACCCCAGTCTGAAGATCACAGCTCCAAACTGAAACCAAGAGTTGTTGACGCTGATTGAAGTTTTAGGTAGGAAAAAATTAGCTTGAGACTTAACAGCTCGTCTCTGGAAATCTCCAGGTAAACAGTGTTAAGCATAGATAGCATATCTACACAGCAAATGAGATACTGGATGGGGAAAATGAGTTAAGTTTTCTGATTTTTAGTTAAAATTTTCAAAATTATGCTGTTAGATAATTAAAGAAGTTTTACTCAAGTAAAGCTTGAGGATTTTCTTTAGGTTAACCCATTGCCATTGAGTCAATTCCGACTCATAGCGACCCTATGAGACAGAGTAGAACTGTCCAGAGTAGACAGAGTAGCGGCTGGTAGATTCCAACAGCTGACGTTTTGGTTAGCAGCAGAGCTCTTAACCACTGTGCCGCCTGGACTCCACTTCTTTAGGTTAGTGAAGTGCATTTTAAAATGAAAACTTGAAAGACAGAATAAATATTTCTGATATATGAACTAAATAAATACTACTTATTTTGACAAGAAATGAATTTTGGCTTATTACCTATGTTATAGGATATTCACCTTGCAAAACGTTTTTATGACATGGCAGCCGAAGCCAGCCCAGATGCCCAAGTACCAGTCTTCCTAGCACTTTGCAAGTTGGGTGTTGTCTATTTCTTGCAGTACATAAAGGAAACAAACGTAAGTGGTTCGTGTTTTTTTTTTGAGTGTTTTGTTTTGTTAGTAGTTTCTTCTCATTTTTTTTCCATAAAAAATTTAGCACCTGTACCTAGAAATATGTGTTATGAGGTCTTTTTAAATGTAATTGTATTTAAGCATAAAGGATAATACCTTGTATTTACTTTCTATATGGGTAAGTAACAGAAAATATCGGGAATAACTTCTTAAGTGGCACTAAAAAGAAAAAAAATCATAAACTAAAAACATAATTCTGTGTGTGTGTGTGTTTTAAGTGAAAGTTTACAGTTCAAGTCCTCATACAAAAATTTATACACACATTGCTATGTGACCCTAGCTGCTCTCCCTGTAATGTGACAGCATACTCCTCCTTTCCACCCCTGATTTCCTCTGTTCATTCAACCAGCTCCTGTCCCTTTTTGCCTTCTCATCTTTCCTCTGGACAGGAGGAGCTGCTCATTTAGTCTTATGTATCTACTTGAGCTAAGAAGCACTCTCTTCACGAGTATCATTTAATGTCCCATAGTCCAGTCTAATCTTTGTCTGAAGAGTTGGCTTCGAGCATGGTTTCAGTTCTGGGCTAACAGAGTCTGGGGGCCATATCTTCTGGGGTCCCTCCAGTCTCAGTCAGACTATTAAGTCTGATCTTTTTACTAGCATTTGAGTTCTGCACCCTACTTTTCTCTTGCTCCGTCAGGGACTCTCTGTCGTGTTCCCTGTCAGGGCGGTCATTAGTGATATCCAGGCACCATCTAGTTCTTCTGGTCTCAGGCTGATGGAGTCTCTGGTTTATGTGGCCCTTTCTGTCTAATACTTTCCTTGTGTCTTTGGTGTTCTTCGTTCTCCTTTGCTCCGGGTGGGTTGCGACCAATTAATGTATCTTAGATGGCTGCTCGCAAGCTTTTAAGACCCCAGACACCACTCACCAAAGCGGGATGCAGAACATTTTAAGAACATAACTTTTAAGTTTAAATTCTGGTGTTTAATTTTTCTTTTTCATTAAATCATAACTAAAAAGTATTATGTATTCAACTATTAAACATTTGAATTCCTGTCCTCTTCACTTACATGCAAGAAGAAGGGAAATAGCCCAGCTCTCATGAGAACCAAGATTTTCAGCTGCTGTACCATCGCTACAAATAGGTCACAGGTGTGCCAAGATACTGGACCCCTGGGCCCCCCATTCTCCCAGTGTTTCTTCCAAATGTTTTCTGTGAAAAATAGTTGGAAATTAGTGCATTAGATTGCTGATGGAAAGGAATCTTGCTAGACATTTTATATAGTCAGCCGTTATAAAAAATAGTGGCTTAATTTCTGAGACATAGTACTTTGAGTTTCAGTAGAAGGCTAAACCCTGTTTTTATAAACACATTGCAAAAAGTTCCTAAAACCAAGTATTTTAATAAGTTCTGTATTTATCTCTATTTTGTGATATAATTTTCTCACTTCCTTCTCTGACATTTTAGTGATCACAATGCTTTTTATTCTGTTTTCATTAAGATCCGAGATTTGCTCACCCAACTTGATATGGACCAGCTCTTGGGACCTGAGTGGGACCTTTACCTCATGACCATCATTGCGTTGCTGTTGGGAACAGTTATAGCTTACAGGCAGAGGCAGCACCAAGACATGCCTGTGCCCAGGCCTCCAGGGCCACGGCCAGCTCCGCCTCAGCAGGAGGGGCCGCCAGAGCAGCAGCCACCACAATAACAGCCACCGTGTCTGTGCTTGAACAGTGACAGCCGAGGACTTTGTTTGCTGAGAACACTTGCATTTGATTTAGGACTTTGGATCAGTGTCCACCTCCTGGAAGAGGCATGAGGAAGCATTTAATTCTTAAAGCTGCTTAGAATCTGCTGCCTTTATTTTCAGGGATAAGTAACTCTTACCTAAGCTGAGTTGAATGTTTGTTTCAGTGCCATATGAAATAACAACTTTCAGTGGCTTCCCTTTTTTTTTTTTTTTCCCCTGGAAACATATGTGAGACACTCAGAGTAATGTCTGCTGTATCCAGCTGTCTTTCTTGGTCCTTTTGTTCATTCTCTCACTGTGCATAAGTTCTTACATTGACCATCAATACTAAAAACGGATCAGTGTAAAGACGAAACCCCAGTTAGTTACAAATTTAACCTTAACATGTTTGAAAGTCTGAAAATAGAACTTGCCTTTTAAGTTAAAAGGAAGAAAAGAAAAAGATTATCTTCAGTGTTTTGAAACTGCAGTAACTGTGAAACTATTTTACCAGTCCACATGCAAGTATACATTTTTAGCATATTTGTTATTTTTAAAAGGAACGGTTAGGAGGTTTTTTCTTATTGGTGATTGCCACACTTTGTACCATACTCCTGTCCTTCAAAGATTGAAAGGTGTTAAAGAGCCCTATGTGGATTTCACTCTTCAGAGTGGAATATATATAGAACATTGTGAGCTGAATCCTTGAACTAACATGAATTTGCCCCACCAGATGGTATTTGCTCGATTGGTCCAAGTGTACAGAGACTTGATCTAGAAGCCAGAGGATGGACTAAATAAGAGAAATTGGAAAAAAATTCTCTAATTTTAAAAATTCTCTAATTTTACCAAGGCCATAAGACACACTTTCCCAAAAGTTGAAGCATTTGTTCCCAGGATTTATTTTACTTTGCATTTCTTATTGCAGAAAGAACAGACCATCCTCCTGAAATCTTTAAATGTGAAATATATGACAGACATGACTACCATTACAATACTAAAACTCAAAGAGTGAAAGGTTGATGACACTTGGTGGTTGAGGAACGCCGAAGCCTGTTGGTACTGTTTTATACCATTCAGGTAGACTTTATTTCTGCCAGTTTATATTACAGTAGAAAGTGAACTGCTTTCACTTTATTAGCTCTCAGATTCATTGCCTCCCACAGTTAACATTTGGAAAATCAAAGCTACTGCACTTCGGATTTGTCTGGTTAAATAAGTAGCATGGATAAAACGACAACAACAAAACTGGGAACTTCACATATCACCGAAACAAAAGAGAATTAAAATTTCCACCGAATTTGTATTTCTTTTTATAAGCAGATGGTGGTGTTCACCAGCCTATTCTAGTCTGAGACGACATTAGTATCTGCGCAGGCTTTCTGTGCCTACTGACCTCAGTCTGTTTATGTGAACTTTTATACTCTTTTTTTCCTCATACTCTATCATCTGCCAGAAAACTTGAAGAATGTATTAGCCTGTAGAATGAGAAGGCTTTGGTTTTTGAAGTTGGGATGGTATTCAGAACTAGATTTAATCCCTAGTCTATAAGGAACATGAAGGCTTTAGATGTGAAACTGTACACACTTTTTTTTTGTGTGTTTAGAGTGTTATGAGAAACCTGGTAAGCGAACTTCCCTTCCAGATAAATTGCTTCCAAATTTGAAGGAGCAGTCATAGAGAAAACTGTAGGAATAAAAGCGTATCTGTGAAAGGTAGGAAATTTTACCCTCGGATGTGTAATGTTGCTTTGGGCAGCTCTTGTTGTAAATATTGACATTTGCTTGATCTCTTACACTTAAAATTGAGGCTTGAGTGCAGTTGGTACAATATGCTGGTGTCTTCACCACTTCCTCCTCTCCCTACCATTCAAAATAAGTATAATCCGTAATTCATCTAGAAGGAACTGTTTTAATTTATCTAAACATTAAGAAACCCTCCAAGATGACTGTCAACTTCTATTTTTTTCTTTAGCCATCCCCCTAGTTTCTCCTCAGGAGCATTTTTATCTCTATCTTGACTTCCCTCTGTTAGCACTTTGAAAAAATATTTCTTCAAGCAGCGTGCACTACCTACGGATGGATGGGACAGTGTCCCGTCGTCTTGTTCTTCATGCAGTAACAAGCTTCCTGTTAGTTTTCCACTTACCATATCCTTATTATTAATGTTCAAAATAGCCATTTCTTGGTTTGTTTTCACCACCTGTTTTACCCTGGGGTCATTTGTTAACCAGAAATTTGAACAGTATGTTTAAAATAACTTAGTTCCTGTGGACTCATTTAAAGAATGTCTCAAAATACTTTGCTCCCTTTTTTCTTTTTTGTTCATGGGACATGTTACCTACACAAAAAGAACTGGGTTTGGTTTTTCTCCTAAAATAATGTTCAATATTTACCTAATCAAATGGCATCCATTTGAATAAAATGACAGTAACAAAAGCTGGTTAATGTCAGTGACATTAAACTAACTCAGGGATTCAGGAGTTTTAATGTTAGAATTTATAGTTAACACACAGAGTGCGGCTTCATTTCTCCTTGGTAGCCCATGCTCTCCTGATCCCTCTTATAGTCTGTCTTCCTGCCTTAGAAGGTGGTGAGAGTAGTACTCTATTTCGCTTATATATTCTCTTGTGCATTTGGTTGGTTGGTTAGCCAACTGTTTCACTACTTAGATAGACTTGGGACTATCCATTTCGCCTCTATTTGATGTTACAAAGGTAGCAAGGTTGTTTTTTTCTGTGTGTGTTTGAGGATTTTGTTTATGTTTTCTGGGTGGGGCTTGTCTTAATGTTGGTTAATACTCAATGGCAGAGAGAAGGTAAATTAGAAAGCTTCTTTTTTTTTTTTCAAAATTCACTATTTAGTCCTTAAATCAGATTAGTTTGTGAATCATTAAACTTGATACTCTTGAGGATTTGTTACCCTTCTGCAGATAAAGTTAATTTGTGAGAGTTTTACCATTTAGCTGTTTTATCTCTGTACCATTGGGAGGTTTTAGAAACTTCCACCAGTAACCTGGTGAAGATCTGATACTCTGTTTAATTAAGGAACTGCCGTGGCCTCCAGAAAACTTCAGTGTTTTATATAGGAGCTCTTTGTTTTCTTCCTCCCTTCTTTGCCCCTCATGTTTGTTCTTCAAACCAATGTTCTGGAGGTAAGCACGCAGGCCTGTAAATGAAGACCACAACTCTTCATGTGTGTAGCATGTATATTGACGTCTAACTACATCTGCAGAAAACTTCCTTTATGGATGTTTGCACTAACATTTCACATGCACATTTCAAAACAAGATGCTTCAGGTAAACAGTACCTTTACCTGCCAAGAGGAGCAATGCGAGCTATATTTGTCCCAGTGACAACTGGTATTGTTTGTTTTGGAAGTGAGTTTAATATATGTTATACAATATTATGCCTAGAAGAATGCAGGAAATAATCAGAACAAAGGAAAATGTCCATTTGCACGCAAATATTTTTCATCAGTCATTGCTGTCAAGTGGAAACACAAAATTTCTGATGCCATATTGTCTGAAGACACTAGCTGTTTCTTCATTGAAAAGCTAAATTTCTCCTTCCATTTGGTATTTCCAGAAAATTTAAAATGATTTCAATTAAAAATGATTGGCGTTTTAGCATGACTATTTGCACAAGGTAAAATCCAGTGTTGTGCTCATGAGACATAGCTCTTGGGTACGTACAGCGAGTCATCACACATGCACTGTTTCTCCCATTTGGATTGACAAACAGGCTGACACGGTCTTTGATTTAAAAGAAAAAAATCATAATGTTAATATGATCAAAATGTAACCACTGTGAATGCACAGGAGAGGAAGGAAGTTTTAGAAGACCATAAACTGGCATTGTGAAGGAGCACCATGGTAGGCTTTTTTGTAAATTTATTTTGTATTTAATGAAATGCAGTATAAAGGCTGGTGAAGTGTAATATAATGTGTAAACAAACAAATCCTGTTAATAGAGAGATGTACAGATTCGTTTTGTACTGTATCTTGAAACGTGTGAAATAAAGATTCCACCTCTGGTTTTCCGGGTGCTGGATGCTACCGTGGACAAACACCTTCCCAGTGAGGCTTTTTTTTTTTTAAACCTGAATGAGTCAGTGTTTAATGAACCTTTTTGGAACTTAAGAAGCTTCTGAGAAGGCATTCATTTGGGGACATTTTAATCCATCTTGCATTTACTTTTAACTCCTAAAATTCCGATTTCCTCTAAGTTGAAAATTGCCCTAGGGAGAATATAAATTTGCTAAGAAACGTTTTTTTCATCTCTGAAATCTTTGACCTGAATCAACCCGTGATACATAAGAAGCAAGAGTCACTTTAATTTAGCCTCATTATAGTGTAATTTATCCAAAGTTTAATTTACTTATATACTGCCTTGTCCCAGAAGTTATTTTAAGAGGGCTTATAGGGATGCATTCAACACAACAAAACAAAGTATATGTAGAACAAGATCTGAATAAAGGGAAAATGAAAAAAAAAATATTAAACCAGGGGTGTACTTTACACAAAAATGCATGCTAGAGGTGGGCTACAAATTTGGCCCTAAACTTTTAGCAGCCAACTCAAAGAGGATATTAAGAAAATGTTCAGCCTAAAAGCACCAGGTCCTTGGATAAAAAGTCTGGATGGGGTAAATTGTGGCAAGTGAGAAGTCGGATCTCACATTTACTTCTAGGAGCACAGACAGCCACCTCAGGTTCTGACCTCAGCTTGAAATAAATGTGGGAAAGTCAGACGTCAGCCATAACATCAACAGTTTGCCCAGTCAAGCAGGGTTGGTATGATGCCTATTTACTACTTACCCTCTTTCTGTCATTAAAAGGAGTCCTGGGTCTTCACTGGCTGTGACTTGAAAAGCAGCCTTTCTCCTTTAACTTCCCTTATGATACTAATATTCATTGGCTGTACTGGCCTTGAAATTTGCTTATACTAAGTTACAGCATGGAGCCCTGGTGGTGCAGTAGTTAAAAGTGTGGCTGCTAACCAAAAGGTCGGCAGTTCAGATCCACCAGCTGCTCCTTGGAAACCCTATGGAGCAGTTCTACTCTGTTCCATAGCGTTGCTATGAGTCAGAATCGACTCATGGCAACGGGTTTGATTGTTTTTTAAGTTACAACATATACATTAATATATGCAAGTAAAAACTTAGAAGTAATTTCTGTAGTAAAAGCTATTTTTAAAAAACAGGAAAAGGAGGATTTTTACTTTTTGCATATTTTTCACGGATAAGCACGTGAAAACAAAATAAGCTTTGGAATCTACCAGTTCAAAAGAAGGTGCTGCTGTGTCCTGGGTCTTGTATATTTCTCCTCGTCATTTCTGCCATGACTTAGTCATCAGATTGAACAACCTTATAACTGAATCCTGAAAATTCTACCAGACTTGTAGTTTATTTTTAGTATATTTTGAGCAAAACTCTGGTTTTCCTAGAG